CCCCCCGAGGCAGGCCGGCCGCAGACAGACCTTCCCAGGATCATATTCTAGCGCCAGGGAAGCTACGTCAGCTAGTCACCACCCCCCATTCCCTTATCGTTTTTCCTGTGAAGGATGATCTGTGAGCAGCATGGGATTGCGTACATCAGCCTGTTTTCTTAAGAATTCTAGGGAGGGATTCATAGGAAGCAGCCTCCGGCCCCGGACATCCCGGCTGCCAGAGGTTTGCTGACCTTCGACCTGTGATCTGAACAGATGGGGTTTGCGGACAATCCCCTCAGTGGAGAACTCTCAACCCCTCCTTCCATCCCTTTGTTCTCCCCCCCCCTCCTCCTCTTACAAAACCTCTGCCTGAGTCCATTTGTTAAGATGGTCTTTGCACCCTGGCCACTGTGGTCAGTGGTTAGAGCGTTGGCCCAAGCACCAAATGGTCTCGGGTTCGATTCCTGGTGGAGGGCACATTCCTGGGTTGCAGGTTCACTCCCTGCCCCTTAGTCGGGACGTGTACGGGAGGCAAGCAGTTGCAGTGTCTCTCTCACATCAATGTTTCTCTCCCTTTATCTCTCTCTCCCTCCCTCCTTCTTTTGACTCTCTCTGAAAAGCAATGAATAAAAATATTCTGAGGTGAGGATTCATGAAAAAAAATTTTAAAAAAGGGATGACCTTTGCGACAGAGTCTCCAGTGTCCTGGGGCTGCTGGCTCCTGAATAAACCGTCTTTCCTCACAGCGAACCCGCCCCTGGAGGACTGGCGCCAGCAGCAGGCAGCCGAGCCTGGCTCGGTACCAAATCCGGCTCTTGGGGTGTTGGCAACAGCTCAGAGCACGCGGCCTTTTGGAGTGACAGCCTGCTCATCCAATGGAAAAGGTGCACTTGAGTCGTGGAACTAGTGAGTGACTGATGTGCAAGTCAGGGTTTGGGGACAGTGACGAGGCCCGGAGTTACTAGTATGTGTACGTCGCCCCATTTCTAAGAATCAGCGCATGCTCAGAAGCCCAGCTAAAGGCAGACAACGGGGACTCGGGGACACACAACCTCCTTGCAGATGCAGGTCACAGGTCGCAGAGTCCTAACGCCGAGCCGGTGAGGGAGGGAGAATGCTTCCAGGCCCGGAGGCAGGTCAGTGACACCCGCCTGTCACGGCAGAGTGAGGTCACGGGTCAGAGTCAGGGTCACTGGTCAGAGTCAGGGTCATGGTAGAGTCAGGTCATGGGTCAGAGTCAGGGTCACGGGTCAGAGTCAGG